CTCAATTTAAGACATAAATCATTCATTCACAAGTTTCATGAACATAAAGAAAAGAATACATTTCATTCATCAAAGTCTTCTTTACAAAAATATTACATGTTATCAACAAAGTAAAATGCCCTACGGGCTTACAGCTTTCAAAGTGATCACTTGGTTACAACAAAAGAAGAGTTCTAACTCTATACATGAAAAGCCCTCGGCTTGGATTTACATTTCACACAAAATATAAATAGCAAAACGGAGTCTTCAACTCCTAAACCTCCCAAGCTAAGACCTTGAAGGCGGCATATCACCTGTACCTGAAAAATGGTGTCTCAAGTAGGGTGAGCCAATGCCCAGTAGAGATATGCTAAACAACATATGAGAATTAACTAAAACATTAGCATTCGATAAATGTTTAACACTTATGAACCATCTTAAACCTTTTCCATAATCAATCAACAATGATACCACATTTCAATTCACTTCCAGTTATTACCCAAGTCAATTCATTGACATAATTCATTATCATATAAACAATTCAAAATGAGACTGCAGCTCATTCATCAACACTTCACATATAAACATCAATCATACACTTCTATTATCTTACCATTTTACGAAACTAAGTCCGAGGGAACCGGTACCCAAATATAAACAAGATTTCAGGACTTTCACCCTGGACACTCTGGCCAACTTAATTATCCATGGAGTCCATCCTCTATCTCCTCCCAAACAATGGAGTACATCCCCTATCTTCTCTCAAACGAAGATACATATACAATGTATTTACACACGTTGTCATATATAATGACCAATTCAATCACATATACAATGTTTACATCCAACCGTCATATTCAATGACATAATCCAGTTGATTAGTTTCAATTTACCTAATCATCATGCAGTTTCTACAACAATCATGGATATCCTCCACCGATAGTCCCAAAACAGATGTATCTAAACAGATAAATAAATTTCTCAACAAATAATTTATCAACTTTTTCATAGGTGAGTGACTTATTAACCCAACTACACCATTTAATCACATGTTCCTTCAATTCCATAATTTCCAAGCCAATTTCATTAGTTATACAACAAATCCACTATTTATACAAAATAGTTAATTCCAAACTAGGGCATTTTCCCCCAAATTCCAAGAACATTAACCCAAGGTCCAAATCTCACCATTTCAACAATTACACACCATTAACCCCATTTTTAAGATCCCTCTTACACATAAAGAGTTTAAATTTGAAAACCCCTTTTCCTCAAATCAAACACCCAAACCCTAACTTTACCCAAACCAATCATTTATACAAAATGACCAATATTTATGTTAAAGCTCATAAAAATGATTAGATTATCCCTACCTCAAGAAGAGAAAACGAGCCAAGCAAGAGATGAACTCCAAGAATGACGAAATCAACTTCTACTCGGATGAAAATGGAGATCTTGAAGAGCTCAAACTTTTTATCAAAGGAATGAGGGTGAGGAGATCACTAGATCTAGGTCAAAATGTAGAGAGAGAGGCTCTCAACTTAGGGTTTTGGAAAGTTTTGGAGAGAGAAATGGCAGAAAAGTGATTTAAAAAGTCACTTTTACAATCTGATATATGTACAGTCCGCTCGAGCGGAAAGTTTGACGCTCAAGCGTAAGACACAAAAATTCGACCTACTCGAGCGCAACAAAGGCCGCTCGAGCGCCAAGAAACAACAGCAAGGCACTACCCGTTCGAGCGCAATGATACCCGCTCGAGCGTAGAATACACTCGTCCAGTATTTTATAGATTTCAGACAATCGCTCGAGCGCCAGAGGGGTCGCTCGAGCTCAAACCTGCTCGAGCGTAAGAAACTTCGCTCAAGTGCGAAAAACACTTTTGTAGTATTTTTGCAGATGCACAAAGTACTAAAGGATTGCAAACCCCGCTCGAGCACAAAAGGACCCGCTCGAGCGGAAGACCAAAATTCTGGACAACAAGGTTCTTGACCAACAACCAACTAACCTGTTTTGAACATGCCTAAGACATCCCAAAACTCAAATTCAAAGAGTAGGAGGAGGAAAAGACATAACAACAACATTAAACCATAAGACCCGAGTCCGAAACACCATAAAGGTCGAGTTAGAAACTAGGATCGCTATAAAAGTGCCTCCGTCGCCAAAAAGAGGCCCGCCGAGGCTGCTCCCTCTAAATCGACCCGGTCAAAAAAGCCGAGGTCAGAGTCTGCAACAACCTCGGGGTCTATGAAATCTGATGCCCCCTGGGCCCCTCCAATCACTATTGAGGACAAGCCAGTCAGAGTCGGCAATAGCGCAACTGACCTTGAAGTCGGCATTGCCCTCTCTACTGCCTTGCTCCTTTCAAAAGACCTCGAACGCAACGCCGAGGTCAGCGAATATAAAAACTTTACTCTGATGTTGCAGCACTCCGTACAAGTAAGCCCCTAACACTTGGCACTTTTCATTCTCTGTTTTATCATACTTAGAGTTTTTTTTTTTTTTTACTAACTCTTGTTTTTCCTCATATTTCTTCTAGGCGATCTAGCATGCCCACTCCTTCGTGATGCAGGCTTTTGACATCAAGAAAGAGTTGGTCAACAAGACCAAGGAGGCTGCTAGTTTGTTGAAGACAATCAACAGAGCCGAGGCTAAGATGAAAACTCTGATGGATCAGGCCAAGGCAGCAAAACAAGCCCAAGACGAGGACGGGGAGAGGGCGGGAGCTGCTAAGGCCATTGCTAAGGTCCTTGGGGCCGAAAAAAAAAAGGCCGAAGCGAAGACCGCCGAAGCCCAAGCCGAGCTCATTGCTGCCTTGGTCACAAAGGATGCCGAGATCAAAGCGGCAGATGAGAAGGCGTATGCCGAGGGGGCAGCCGACGTCAAAGAAGACTACAAGAAACAAGTGAAGCAGGCTTGCAACAAGGGTTTCACCCTTGGTTGGATGGCTGCTCTGAAAGAGTTGGCTGCCCCTGAGGACTTTCCTCTCAAGAATGCTAGCAACCTCGTCCTGTCATTTCCTCCCTCTTCAAGCCAGTCCAAGGACGAGGCTAAGTCCGAGGAGGAAGCTGAGGTCGAAAAGTCCGAGAAGGCTGTGAATGCTGGGGCCAAGTCCCTAACTCTGAATAAGCAAGTCTTGGACTTGACTCAGGAGAACGAGGACGAGGTCTCCGAAGATACCACTCCTGAGAAGACAATATCTAACGTGCCTATCACCGAGAAGAGCATAGACCAGACTCTTCAAAAGATCGATGCGGAGCTCGCGGCTGAGAAGGTTGCCGAGAAGAGTTCTCAGATGTCTTTCGAGCCCCAAACCGATCCAGCTGATGATGCTGAATAGTCTAATCTTGAAGCTTTTCCTCTGTACTTAGTACTCTTTTCTTTTTGAACAATGTTTAACTCTTTATTTGGCCGATGTTCCTTTTAGTAATCTGAACAATTATTCTTCAATGTCAGGCCAAAGTGCCTTCTTTCGTTATCTGAATGCATTATCTAATTTCTTCTTTCAATATAATTGTATGTTTGTATGCTTTACTGCTTCCATACTTAGAGTATTTTGCATGTCTTCAGTTTATGCCTTTCTTGTATTGTCTCCTTGGATTAACATACCTCGGACAAAACTTCCAATTTTGCTTATCTCGGCCTTGGCTTAACACTTGAAAACTTTGTAAAAAATATTGTCACAAGTGTTATATAAAACCTGCCACTTTACTTTTACTTAGCAAGACTTCTGTCTTCAAATATCTTCCAAGTCATGGCAACATGGTAATCTCGGCAAGTACGTAGATACTTCTTTCAACATAATCTTGGCTTAACTTCAACTTGTAAATTTTTTCTTAAAATTTCAACAAGTGTTAAACCAACCTTCCTTTAGCATGACCTCGGCTTAATTTCAACTTGTAAATTTTTCTTAAAATTTCAACAAGTGTTAAACCAGTCTTTAGCTTGTAAATTCAACTCCAAGCATCATTCTTCCAGCCCTCTACCCCCTAATGTGAACTTAAGTTCCACTTGGGTTTTCATTAAGCATGTGGCTTTGACCTCGTCACCGAGGTGAGATTCAAACAAAGGCTGGCCGAGGTTACCAACCTTGGTCTCTCTGTTTAATCAATATACTTAGTTTCAATCTGTGTTTGACTCTGCTGATATGGTAAGTCCAGATTAATTTAACTTAGTTCAACTCTATTATATGCAAGTAGAAAAACTCTGCCATATAATAAGTCTAAGTTATTGGTCATGTTTCAATCAAAAACATCGTCAACTTAGTTCAACTCTATTATATGCAAATATAATTCAACTCTGCCATATAACAAGTCTAAGTTATTCGTCATGTTTCAATCAGATATATCGCCAACTTAGTTCAACTCTATTATATGCAAGTATAATTCAACTCTGCCATATAATAAGTCTAAGTCATTCGTCATGTTTCAATCAAAAATATCGCCAAGTGACTGGTCAGTCATACCACACAAGTTTAAAAATCAAGCTAAGACTTTATTATTATTTCGGCTAATAACAAGAAACTTAAAAAACAAAAAATTCTAATGATAGAAAAACTTCAGATTGCAAGTATTCCAAGGTCTTGGCAATTCTTTGCCTTCACTGTCTTGAAGCCGATATGCCCCATTGCCCAGAACCGAGATGATTCTATAAGGTTTCTCCCAGTTTGGGCCAACTTTGCCTTCTCTGGGATCCTTCTTGTTGCCGACAACCTTTCTCAGGACGAGGTCTCCAACTTGAAATTCTCGTAGGTAGAGCTTTTTGTTATAAGCCTTGGCAAGCTGCTGCTGGTATGCTCCCAGCTGAATTGCTGCTTTCTTTATTCTTTCTTCTAACAGATCCAGATCTCGGGCCAAGAATGCCTCATTGGTCCCGTTTTCTACTCTCTGGGTTCTGATCCCTAGGATGTCGACCTCTAGTGGAATAACTGCTTCTGTGCCATAAGGCATGGCAAATGGGGACTCCCCAGTTGATCTTCTCGGCATAGTCCGATATGCCCAGAGTGCATTAGGTAACTCTTCCACCTACTTTCCCTTTGCTGCTTCTAGCCTCTTCTTGATTCCATCCAAGATAACCCTATTGGAGGCTTCTACTTGATCATTACTCTGAGGAAAGCTTGGAGTAGAGTAATAATTCTTGATTTTGTACTTTGCACAGAAGCTCTTGATTAGCTCACTGTCAAACTGTGTACCATTGTCTGCTATTATTGCCCTTGGGGTCCCAAACCTGGTGATGATGTTCTTCCATATGAAGTTCTTCACATCAACGTCCCGAATTTTTGCAAGGGATTTAACTTCTACCCACTTGGTGAAGTAATCTATTGCCATTAGCAGGAACTTTCTTTGTCCAGTTGCTTGAGGCAGTTGTCTAACAAGATCCATGCCCTATTGGGCAAATGGCCAAGGGCTGGACACTGGGTTCAAGTCCGCTGCTGGTTAATGTATCAAGGGTGCAAACCTCTAGCACTTCTCACACTTCTTGACATAAGCTTCAGTATCTTTCTGTATGTAGGGCCACCAGCACCCCTGAATAATGGCCCTATGAGCAAGTGACCTGCCCCCAGCGTGGCTTCCACATACTCCTTCGTGTATTTCATACAAAAAGCCTTCAACTTGTGAAGGATGCACACACCTCAAAAGAGGTCCAGTGAAAGATCTTCTGTAACTGTTAGACTGAACCTTGCTGACTTTAGCCTGATCTTGTATGCCTCTTTGTGATCATCTGGCAGTTTCCTATCTCTAAGGAATACTATTATCGCATCCATCCAACTTGGTCTCATCTCTACACACATTGCTTCATGCTCTGTGTTCAGTGATTCTATGCTTGGACCTGGCAAGTAGTCCACCATTATCGTCCTTGTCTCTCCAGGTTTTATTGCACTAGCCAGGTTGGCCAGAGCATCAGCATGGCTGTTGTCATCTCGGCTAACCTACTGTAGTCGGTAATTCTAGAATAAGGCTATCAATCTGCCCACCTTATTTACATAGGTTGACATCCTTTCATCTCGGGCTGCGTATTCGCCTATGGCCTGGTTGACGATAAGCTGGGAGTCATAGAAGACTATTACCACGTCAACTTCTATTGTTACTGCCAGCTTTAATCCTGCGATTAATGCTTCATACTCTGCTTCATTGTTTAAGGCTTTAAACCCTAAACGAATGGATTGTTCCAATATCTGCCCATCTAGTGATACTAGCACTACTCTTGTCCCCGGTCCTTGTCGGTTTGAACTCCCATCAACAAACAGCCGGAAGGAGTCGCCGATGTAAATATTGCATAGCCTGAGTTTTTCTTCCTTCCTTTGTTCTGCTATCCCCAGTTGGGTTTCTCCTTATTCACTTAAACATCGTACACCTCGGCTCAATGGAGCCTGATGTATGATAACGCTCGGTGTGAACTTGGCCACGAAGTCGGCCAAAACTTGGCCTTTGATTGCTGTTCTAGGTCTGAATTCCAGGTCATATTGGCCCAACACCACTGCCCATCTGGCTATTCTGCCTGTCAGATCTCCCTGCTGCAACAGGGACTTCAAAGGATGCTAGTTAACACCACAATTTTGTGGGCTTGAAAGTAATGATTCAGCTTCTTGGAAGCCATTACTAAAGCAGTGTTAGCTTCTCCAAAGGTAGGTATCTGGTCTTTGCATCAGTTAGGGCTTTACTCACGTAGTAAACTGCCACTTACTCTCACTTTTCTTCTCTGATTACTACTGCACTCACTGCATGCTCTGAAACTGCCAAGTATAAGAACAGCTCCTCTCTAGGTACTGGATTTGAAAGAATTGGAGCTGTGGTCAAATACTTCTTCAAGTCGTTCAAGGCGACTTCACACTCTTCTGTCCATAAGAAGTCTGTGGCTTTCTTCACTAAGCTGAAGAAAGGTTTACATTTGTCAGAACTTCTGCTTATGAATCTATTCAGGGCTGCAGCCCTTCCAGTCAACATCTGCACTTGCTTTGCCGATGTTGGGTTCTTTAATTTTAAAATGGCCTTGATCTGATCTAGACTAGCTTCAATGCCCCTTTTAGTAACCAAGTATCCTAATAACTTACCAGACCCAACTCCAAATACGCACTTCGATGCATTGAGTCGGAGCCGATATGTTTTAAGGAAGTCCAAAATATGCCTTTAAGTCTTCCAAATGATCCTTAGGTTCCTTGATCTTCACGACCATGTCATCTATGTATACCTCCACTGTTCTTCCTATTAAATGTCTGAACATCTTGGTCACCAGTCTCTGATAAGTTGCTCCTGCATTTTTTAACCCAAAAGGCATCACTTTATAGCAATACAGCCCTTTTGGGGTGATAAATACAGTCATTTCCTCATCTAGGGGGTACATAGTTATCTGATGGTACTCCCTTTAGGCGTCCAGGAAGCTCATCCTTCCATGCCCTGAAGTGGCATCCACCACTTGGTCAATCTTGGGTAGTGGGAAACTGTCTTTGGGACAAGCCTTGTTTAGGCTAGTGAAGTCCACGCAGACCCTCTACTTCCCATTCTTTTTCTTCATAACCACCGTGTTTGATAACCATGTCAGGTAATTTACCTCCCGAATGGCTCTGGCCTCCAGAAGTTTATCCACTTCCTCTTCTACTGCCTCAACATGCATCAATGTCGGCCTTCTTGCTCGCTGGATGACAAGTTTGGCCGACCAGTCCATATTCAGTCTATGGCAAGTGACCTCGGGGTCAATGCCAGGCATCTCGTACGGCGTCCAGGCAAACACCTCAATGTTTGCTCTCAAGAACGCCTCAAACTCTTTTTCCTCTTCCTCAGTCAAGCCCGAGCCTAGAAGGAAGAAGCGCTCATCATTCTCTTGCTGGACAAAAATTTTCTTCAGAGCTTCCTCACTCTTCTCAGCTGGCTCTTTGTCGACGTCCTCCAGGACTTCCATGTCCTCATCCTTAATTTTTGTTGCTTCTGCTTCTCGTATGTTACAGCTGGATTTCATTGCTACTATAGAGCAATTCTTCACCTGCACCTGATCCCCTCTGACTTCCTCAATTCCTTGTTCTGTTGGGAACCACAACAGCTGGTGTAAAGTTGAGGGAACAGCCCCCATTACATGCAGCCATGGCCTTTCCAGGATAGCATTGTAAGGGGAAGATGTGTCACTTATTGTGAATTTTGTTTTCACCTTTTTGGTGCCAGCCTACACTTCTAAACTTGCTACTCCCAAGGGCCATGTTGGCGTTCCGTTGAACCCAACCATTGGGCCATTGGACTACTCCAGATCATCTTAATGAAGGCCAAGCTCCTTGTAACACCTGATATACATGATGTCACAAGAGCTGCCCTGGTCAATTAAGACGTGCTTTACTTGGCATTCTCCAATCTGGAGGGATATTACCAAGGCATCGTTGTGTGGATACTGCACCATCTCTAGGTCGTCTTCAGTAAAGGACACCATTGGTCCTTGACACTCGTCTGCCCTAGGTCTTTTCTGTCAGACCTAGTACACATGCTGCAAGTGTTTTACCCTCTGAGTCTCCCCACGAATTTCGTTCTCATCGACCTTCGAGTGAATCACATTGATCACTCGAGGTCCGTCTGCCTGTGGTTATGGTGCTGGAGGAGGCGGTGCTGTCGGTGCCTGAGGTAGTCTTGCTTACTCTTCCCTTGTCCTGGCCTCATCTACAAGGTCCCTTAAATGACCTTGTCTTACCAGGTCTTCCAGATGTGCCTTCAGGGCTCTGCACCCCTGAGTCAGATACCCATTTTCATTGTGGTAAGCACAGTGCATGCCATGGCTTCTTCCCATAAATTCGCCCGGAACCCTTACTGGTGCTCTGTAATAGGATTGATTTCGAATTTTCTCCAAGACTTTGTAAATCGGGATTCAGAATACGGTTGTGATTACCTGTGCAGCCCTTAATCCTGTCTCTTGCTTGTTGTACCCAGTGTTACCTCGGTCTCGCTTCGGCGAGCCGTTTTCCTTCTCTTGTTTCGACGCCCTTGTCCCCGGCGTGTCCTCCTCGGCCCTGGCATACTTTTCTATCCTAGCCATAAGTTCCTCTATACTTTTTGGTAGTGTCTTTGCCAGTGATTTTTAAAGCAGACAATCATCTTTCAGGCCATTCTTAAAAGACAGTACCGCTACCTCTTGGTTGCATCCTGGTATTCGGTTGAATACCTCATAATACCTCTTGGCATAAGCCCTGAGGCTTTCATTCTCGCCTATCCTCAGAGCCATCAGAGAGTCCACCCTCAATGGTTGTAGTTTGTTTGTCACAAATCTGGCCACAAACATCTTGGCTAGGCCTTCCCAGGTTTTCACAGTTCCTTTCGGCAACTTGTGAAACCAGTCCGATGCAATTTCCCCGAAAGATGAGGGAAACACCTTGAAAAGCAATGGCTCGTTCCCGGTGTATAGTTCCATTGAGTTCAGGTACAAGCCGACGTGAAAGTTAGAGTTCAACTTACCGTCGTATATTTGGAATCTCAGCATGTGGAACCTTTTCGGAGCCTCAAATTTGTCCAACTCTACCGAGAAGGCTTGACCGGAGAGGTTACCTCAGCATCTTGTCGCTTCCTCTGGAGGTAATCCCTCAGATCCTCCTTGGTCCATCCAGGAGCTCGGTTATCACCGGATTTCAGCCTCTTCGGTGCGCTACTTCTAGTGTCATTATGAGTCCTTTTGTACCTCCCTCCATTGGTCGTGTCGAAACAGAGTTCCTTTGCCTGAACATCCCGATGTTCTTTGGTGCAGGCTTTTTTAGTTCGACGTGTCTTCTGGGATTGTCTCCTCGTTGATTCTTCATGCCTGACCTCCTGCGAAGGCCAGTGAAAATGTCCCTTAATCCTGTCGTGCTGTGGAACTACAGGAATTGTTTTCTGTCCCCCCTTTTCGGGCATCTTTCTTGGCCGCTGGAATCGGCGTATCTTGTAATAGAAACGGTGGCTGCACGACGTTGTTCTGCATTATGAAATTGACGATCGTTTGCAGGTTGGTCAATTTGTTTGCCATTCCCTTCATCTTGTCGTCCCTCCGCAGGCATCTATCTTTCCATACTTGGAGGTCGTCCTCGTTGTAATACCCGCTTCAATCTGATTTCTTTAGTACGTCGCCCTCCTGGCCGACGTCTTTCTCTCTGGGATTCTGATCCCGAGTTTTCTTGTTACAATTATCTTCATCGATGTTAAGGTCAACATGTTTGCTACTTCTAGTAGGGATATCGTCTCCAACCCTCTCTTTCTGTCCGTCGTTGGCCATCTATTCTCCTTTCTTTCCCACAGATGGCGCCAAATTGTGTGTGTCGATTTCTGACCACACTGCCAAACAAGTACTCAGCTGGAGAACACCGCAGAATAGATTAAGCCCGAACAACCTGTCACAGAAAGATAAGATTCCGGCGGTGGTTTGTCCACCCGGGGGCACTTCGACGATCAAGTTAGTTATTTCTCAAAGATAGCAAAAGTGTTTAACTCACTATTCAGAATACAAAAAGCGTACCTTAGACCCACGAGGGCGCCTCTCTTTTATAGCCAGTACTGACCTAATCCCAATAGAAGCCTAGCTTCAATGGACTCTGGCTCAATGCTAATCGTGGACTGCCAGTTAGATTGGGATAAACTCTCTAAGAGTCTTATCTTTATCTAAACTGAAGTCCTCTCTCATTCTAGGACTTTTGTCTCTTATCCGCCTATCCCAGATTCCGGTATCTTTGCAGATAACCTAGGCCTAGCCAAGATTATGTAAGCGTCATGACCAGGACACGTGGCACCTCGGCTAGCACTTCGGTGCCACCTCGGCCACGTGTTGTCATTCAAAAATTATGTCCCCACAGTTGTAAAACCTCATGATAATTCCATGAAGATTAAAAAACCCTTTTGTTGTTGAACCTCCATGGCATCTCTAAATGACCATCCAACAATTCCCAAGAACAAAAGCTTTCCTGGATAATACTAGTTGATGTTTGATTAATTGAACGAGACATTACTTATTTTTCGATTTGATTAATTCATCAAGATACTATTTTCTATTTGATTAATTGAATGAAAAAAATGATTGTGTTCCTGACAATTTCTAGATTTTTTTTTTTGATTTTATATATATATATATATATAATAGGAGATTTTTTTTAAGGTCCTGGTATTAAAATTTTATAACATAAAGGATCTCTAATACTTTCATAATGTCTAAAGTCCCTCAAATTAAACAAGAGAAAATTCAATCCAAATTAGAGAAATTCTCTTTGATTTACTTATAATTTTCTTTGATTTGTTTATCATTTTCTTTGCCTTCAACAACAACAACTATCTAGCTTTGAATTTCTCTAGTTCAAACTAGAGAAATTCTCTTCAAACCAGAGAAATTCTCTCTGATTTATTTATAATTCTCTCTGATTTGTTTACCATTTTCTTTGCGTTCAATAACAACAACAATTTGAATAAATTAACCTCAACTGTTGATTAAACAACAGATTTAAGAACATACACCTTGCAATGGTTTGGACCAGAGAATTTCTTTGGATTGAATTTTCTCTAGTTTGGACCAGAGAATTTCTCTGGTTTGGATTGAATTTTCTCTGCTTTGATTTGAGGGACCTTAAACATTATAAAAATATTAGATGTCCTTTATGCTATAAAATCTTAATACTAGGGACCTTAAAAAAAATCTCCCATTATAAAATTAAGTGAATGACTTAGATCGAAAACAAATTAAAATATTAAAGTTTAGGGTGAATTACGCTAACAGTCCCTATAGTTTGGGCTCGTGTCATTTTGATCTCTAACTTTTCAATTGTGATATATTTGATCTTGAATTTTGAATATTGTTTCAAATATGGACAATTGAAGATACAATTGCTCAATTTCAAGGGCAAAGTCGTCAATTTGATAAAATAAAAACTAATTTGATAAAAATAAATGTCAAAAAAATATTTTCCAAAATAGTAATTAAAAGATGTCCAATGAGCTGTGACAGTCTGTATGCAAAAAGAATATATATATATATATATACAATCAATAGAATTGGGAAAGGAAGGGAGACAATGAAATTAATCTCCCAATCCCTTTCTTGTGTTTGTTAGGCTTTTTTGGTTGATCATTTGTTTGTAACTTTGTACACAAAAAGGATCATTCTCAATGGGGGCGAAGGGGAAATCTAGATGTATATCAGAAATGCTACGTAAATTGAAAACGGTATTTGAAATAAATTGTATGGTGCATATTTAAAGTTAATGAAACTTGAAATAATTGTGATCAATAGATATATTTTTTAAAGTAATTTTTATGAATATGTAATATTGTTGTTGATAATGGTTCTTAAAGGATCATTCTATCTATGTCCGATTATTTACCAATCCGCAATTGGGTAGGAAATAATTGTGGTGATTCACATAGTTTATTGGATTTTTTGACACTATTTGAAATTGGTAATATCATAGAATTAAAGTCAGAATTAATAATATGTAGGATAGAAAATCAATTACATGTATCATGAGAATATTTGTATCATATATAGTTATGCTAGAATATTGTATGGAATAATAGGGGAAGATTATTTTTGACAGTCAGAAAGAGTGATATGGTTAATTCTATGACAATGAGATTAGCAATAAAAATATGTGAAAGGCGTAGATAAAAATATGAGATTAGCCAGAGACTGGCGTTGCCAACTTCAAGTTGTTTGGCGTGACAATGAGATTATCTTTTGGGTGCCTCCTCCTGCTTTGAGTCCTTTATTAGCTAGTGATTGTCAAGGTGTTGGATCCTTGCATAGGGCTGTTTTGTAATCTCTTTTCGGGCTTAGGCCCCCATTAATACCAATATATATATGAGATTAGCATTACCGATTCTATTTATTTCATAAAGTTCATTGTAAGTTGAAAATTAATCAAAAAGTAGAAGTTAAAAAGCACCCTCAAATTTTAGATAATCAATTTTTTTATGGCTTATTTAATTTATTTTTACCTAATAAGCTATATGAGATGGGTTCTTGGAAGCTCA